CACCGTGAGGGTGACCATCTGTCTCAAGGATGTGTCGGATTTATCGTCCATAAGTCCCTTGTTAACAACGCTGTAAAGATTGAGAGTATGTCGACGAGGGTTGCGTACCTTAAACTCAGAATCAACAAACGGTATTTGCTGAAGGTTATACAGGTTTACACATCAATGTCAACTAATCCCGATGAGGAGGTGGAGAATATGTATGAGGATATATCTAGAGCCATGTATTCTTCCAAAACCCACTATACAGTGTTAATGGGAGATTTCAACGTAAAACTAGGTACAAGAGAGAACGGCCAGCTTAGGGTAGGGAAATTTGGAATAGGACAACGGAACTCAAGCGGCCGACTTCATGGAGAAAGAGGGACTTTTTATGAAGAACACTTTCTTCCAGAAGCTGCCCCACAGGAAGTGGATCTGGCCGAGCTCTGACGGTTCGACAAAAAATGAGAGTTCATTATGACGAATAGACGACAACTTTGATGTCTTAGTGATCGCGAGGGTGAAAACTGGCAGCGATCACTGAATGGCTAAAAGCACACTGAAATTAAACGTAAACTTTGAGAGATCTCGTCTAGTAAATTCAACGCTCCGTCCCCCTAGTGGCACCTGATATTTTGAGTATGATTGAGAGGTTTTATGGGCAGCTGATCCAAGAGCAAGTTTTATTCGACACTATTCCGATGATTTTCCGATCGTCAGTCTGGACGAGATTAGAATGGCTCTCTAGCACCTTCTAAACGGCAGGGACCTAGGCGAGGATGGAATTACAGCGATACTTCTGAAAGTGGGTAGAAAACCTGAACGTCCTTAAGATGCTCATTAATTCCGTCCTACATGGCGGCACTACTCCGGAGGCGTGGAGCAGAATTGCGGTGGTCTTGTTCTTCAAAAAAAAACGATAACGCTTTCTTGAACAAGGACAGACCGATTTCTCTTCTAAGTCGCGTCTACGTGCTGTTTTCGAGAGTCATTACAAATCAACTCGCATGCAGACTCGATGACTTTCAGCCTCCCGAACAAGCCGGTTTCCAATAAGGCTTTAGCACCATGGACCACATATATACCCTTTAGCAAATTGACAAAAGTCCGAGGAGCACAATTTGCCACTATGCCTGGCGTATGTGAACTGTGAGAAATCCTTTGATTCCGTCAAAATTTGGACGGTGCTGCAGTCCTTTCAGCGGTGCCAAGTTGACTGTCAGTAGCACGAAGCTTGAAGTTGTTTACGAGTATGTTTACCTGAGAAAAATAGTCCGAATAGGTAAATCCAACTTCGACCGAGAGGTCAATCGATGGCTTAAACTCGGCTGGGCAGCGTTCAGGAAATTACGACACATCTTCTCGTCAGGTATACCTCAAAACTTTTAAACGAGACTGTACAACCAGTGCGTGTTGCAAGTAACGACCTATGGAACTGAGACGTGATCCTTCACTGTTGGCCAGATGAGGAAACTCAAGGTCGCTCAGCGAGCTATGGAGAGGGCTCTAGTCGTAGTTTATCTGCGTGATAAACTTAGAAATAAGTATATCCGCAGTAGAACCAGAGTGCCTGACATAACCCAACGGATTTGTAAGCTGAAGTCGTAATGGACCGGCCATATAGCTCGAAGAACCGGCAACCGATAGGGAAAAAGGTTCTCAAGCGGCTGCCTTGTACCGGCGGACGAAGCGTAAGGCGTCCTCCCACTAGATTGAGTGACGACCTGGTAAGACATGCAGGAATTCGATGGATGCAGGTCGCTTAGGACCGTGCATTGTGGTATTCCTTGATGGAGGCCTATGTTCAGCAGTGAACTTGTGAAGGGCTTTAATGATAATGATGATGACACACCTTAGATATTCCAGTTATTTTGCAGTTAGTTTTATCAATAGTAATAGAAAATAACAAATACTGATTAGTTTATAGATGACTAAGTGAATACCTCGAAGTGAAACATCAATTTAATAAACTTTGAGACATTCCAACCTAGTCATCATAGTTGCTGACTTATATGATGCCCGGCCATCAATAGGAGTCAGAAATATCTGAGAAATAAAATGAAGGATATGCACGCGTGCGTGTGTCATGGACTCTGATCCTTCTGTGGACATCATAATTCAATGGGTTTACTACACCGCCGAACGCGTGCTAAAACAGCACGTAAAATTGCAAGTAATAATTTTATGGGAGAGATCAAACCCAACAGTAACACAACACGGCAATGTTTTATTATCATATTTATATGGCTTTAAATAGTTATAATACTCAATTGTTATTTTACCTTTTGTTTAATTTCAATCATAAACTTAATGTTTCTGCTTCCATTTAACTTACCCGCTTTGTTTTCTGGAAAGAGATTCCAAAGAAGTTGTGAATTCAATACAGAAACAAATTGCCGTTTGTTGGGAAACAAAACATTTTCTCAGATCTCGGTATTCAGCTTTTAACATAATCGTTTCAATAGGATATTCAACAAGTTATGTAATATTTATTGTTTCAACAGTTTCAGCAACTGTGAAAATAAAACATTATATGAAATTAATTTAATGTAAAAAACATAATGAATATTTAAAATTATATTTTGAAAAAAAAAACTTTATTCCGCAAAACGATAACGTGTGTAATTATAATATATCCACGAAATATATCGCCTTAAAAAATTGACGTAGAGTTGGGTGAGTTGAGTTGGGACTATAATTCCAGATTTTTATTTCTTTTATATTTAATTAGATAACAGAACGCAAAAAGTTGTCATTAACAGTATGAGCCTTGTTATGAGCTCTTTCGAGTCGATGGCACAAATGGGTATGAGACTCAATTCTCGCCCCCTTTCTGTTTCTAGTATACATTTATAACTTATCTTACATAGTAGGGGATAACCATGATATAGTATTATTTGCTGATGATAAAAAGTATCATCAGCAAATAATACTAATTTTCAAATTAAGACGACAATTACTGAAATTATTAAATCATCAGTAGCCTAATGGCAGGGCGCGGACCGCGAACTCGACGACACGTCTCACTTCGAAACCACGTCTCGACTTCGAGACGTGGTTTCGAATCCGCTATTCGACTACTGTCGTGAACCACTTCTAACACAAGCATTTTAAGCTTACCAGAAGTGGTTAACTCAGTGTAAGTGGTCACATTCTCATCTTTAATCTCTTTTCCTGATGGCGGGGCGTTAATAAAGTTTCAGGAACTACCTCCGGATTCGGAGGCCTAACCGATGGATGCGGCAGTAAATCCCTATTTGTATTTGTATATTATAAGATGTTACATAATATCTTCACCTATCCTAACTGTGGATAAAAGGGATGAATTTTTAATATAACTATTAAGATAACATTCTTGTTGTTACTTTGCCCTTGTGATATTTCTTAATACATTCAAACGTGTCAAAAAAATTAAATTTCTAATCAGAAGTAAATTAATTCAACTTCAATAAACTTTAGAACTTCAGAGTACCAACTTCAGAAGACTTCAGAGACTATTATGTGGAAAATATTTCATTCTTTTTGGGTCCTTTAAGTCGGATTTGACATTTTAATAAAAGTTTAATTCTATCAGCAAAATCAAAAAGAAGTATTTTAATTCCAGAAAACATATCTCTTTAAAACTTAATAACTGAATTATTGACTTATAATCATTAACATTTTGAAATAATTTAATCTTGATTTAATAACGTCTTAAAGTAGACGTCAAAATTAATTATAGACTATTTATGAAGGGTATTATTACCATTTATAAATCAGCCTTCAATATTAACATAAGTTTTATTTATTTAAAAAAATAAAAGAACATCTAAAAGACTGGTGAAAATTCTACACGTCACATGTACATATGTACATATCATCATCACCACTGCTGATCATAGGACTTTTCCAAAGAATGCCACAAGACATGGTCGACTTATTGCATTTCATATCAGGTCGTCATTCCATCTAGTTGAGGGCCGCCCTACATCATGCTTATAGGTATAAAGCTGCCACACGAGAACCTTTCTTTTTTCAATTCTTTAAGCTATATGACCATTGTCAGGTATTTTATTTAAAATCATAGCTTACATTTCGGTAAAATATGTTTATATTTATATATGGCACTTTTCGCAATAGTATAAAAAGTTCTATTCAACGGCGACTGAAGTCCCCAAAAAAAATTCTTACCTTACCTGTCCATGGTGACTATAGTCAACAAATGACATCGTTCCGCTCAAGCATGTACAGCGCTAAAGACAGCTGTTAATAATATAGTATAAAATTAGAGATGGTGTTATTTGAAATTTGTCATCTGAGATAAAATTCACTCCCACGAATTGTCACGAGTATATAGTAGCAGAAAACTCTTTGCATTCGCTAGACACAAGACCAATTAGCGAACTTCTATCTAGGTCGCCTTTCACAGAGCACATACATGTTTAACGGAAGGCGTAACTTCGATCTTTCAACTGAGTAACAGACAGAATGAAGACTTGCGGCTTTACAGATTTCTTTGTTTGTATCGTCGGTTAATCCGGTAAAGAAATAAATGTGTAAAGTACACTTACGATGAGTTTCCCAAACGTAATAACTTGATAAATTTGTGATGTAACCAAGACGATTAAATAAAGTTACTAAAAATCTGCTTTCTGTATCTAAGCAACCAATTCTAGCAAAAAAAAAATGTACACAGAATTTTTATTTACACACAATGATATTAGCAAAAATTGCGAAATAAATATCTTTATATCACACTAAAAACTATTTCAAACAAGTTTTAACTCAACAAATTTGCATATTTAACACAATGCCTAAATAAATTTATGTGTAGAACTATTAACACCCTTTTTAATTACTTTTGATAAATGAGGGGTGCCAAACCATAACGTTTTATGTGCCACACGAACTGAAATACGTTTTATTGCAGTAAAACGTTGTATGTGCCGGCGTTTACTTGCAGTAATGAGTTGAAAGGTTTCTAACGCCATCTAAATTAAATATTGTGAAACAGCATGCCATAACGTTGTAAGTGCCAAATGAGCTGCAAACGTCAGTGCATTCAAAATGTCCGAACAAGACGGTGCGTCTACAATGAGAAAAAAATTGTTAATAAAAAGACATGGAAAAAAACAATAAGAAAATATTGCAGAAACAAGGGCTTATCGTATGTGAATACAAAAAATAAAGAAGTGAGTGAAAAAAGTGAGCCAAGTGAGGTATGTGTGACAATTTTTTTAAACCATTGTTAAAAAACGTAAACATAGTATTTTACCTTTAAATATATTTATATTACTTTACCATTGTTATTATACACTTATATTACTAAACGGTGATGAAAACAGTAAACAACATTTTATGCAAATTGTAAATTTCATCATTTACTTTGTTGTAGGTTTCTTGCAAATGCCAGTTTTCGTGTACCTGTTTGACATTGGAATACTCCAACTGAAGTAGTAAATGACCTCGCTAAGCAAAAGTTGGACTTTCATCACAAGCAAGCTGAGATGGCCAGAAAACTAATGAATAATGATGGAGCAGACTCTAGATGCCCTAATTCAGATGTTCGAGTAGTTCAGTTCGACCTCCAGCAACAGATGTACCTCCCAACATTAATCCATACACAGATGTACTACAGTCGTTAGCTGGCATTTGTCAATATGAGAATTCACTTGGAGGACGAAGGAAAGGGCATCATGTTTCTCTGGAATGAAACTGTTGGGCAAAGGGGTTCCAACCAGATCGCTTCCTGTCTTTACAAGTTTTTCACTTTTAGTGAAATAGGATACACTACAGATAAAAATAAATTAATTTTGTGGTCAGATAACTGTGGTGGACAAAACAAGAACCAAGCTGTACTTGCTATTTTCCTCGTTTTAATTGCAAAAGGTTTCTTTTCAGAAATTACTCATAAATTTCCTGTAAAGGGTCATACATTTCTCGCCTGCGATCGTGATTTTTCGATCATTGAAAAAGCGAAAAAGTGTGCAAAGCCACTGATTCCAAAAGACCTTATTGAACTTATTACAAATGCTGGCAAAAAAAAAAACCATTCTTGGTAGTGGATGAAAACCTTTTTTAATTGGATGAATCTGGCTAAAAATATGATTAATACCAAAAAGCTACAGATATCTTCGGCAACGATGATTCGCCTAACATCTGAAAATTTTGGTGTCATTTTTACAAAGAAAAGTTACGGCGAATTTGCTCCTTGGATATCAACTCCAGTGCTTAAACCTGGAATTACTAAGGCGAATTTTGAGAACCTACAAGTTGACATGATCGAGACACCTGTACCTTTATCTGCCGAGAAAAAGAAAGACATTGGTGCCATGTTGCCGTATTTAGCCGGAAATAGCAAATATTTTATGAAAACCTTTTAAAATAAAGATATTATTCAAGTGGAGTTATGTGCAAGTAATATAATACTTACAACGTTATGACTTGCATAAATAATGGTACTTACAACGTTTTGTTCTTTTAATTTTTTTTAGAAACAAAATAATATTATTTCCTTGTTTCGACTGACACAAAAGTTGTGTTAAATTATTAATAATAAATGATAATTTGATTAAACATTCTTTTTTTATTGCTTTGCTCTTTCTTTTTCCATTAAAACTGTTTTTTGTATCTCCTGAAAATTCCACTTTCTGGCACTTGAAACGTTATGGTTTGGCACCCCTCAAATGTCTCTGCTATTTTCCTTAAACATTTTGATTATTTAAATTTTCAATGTAAAACGTGAAGAAACATTCTAAATTTGTCATACGGCTTGTCAAATACCTCCTCTCATATCCGAGATGGGACAGGAAAATTTGGCATGTTACCATATAAGATGTAGGCGGACTTTTTTATGTAACCACAAAATATTTTGAATTTCTAACACATGCAGGCTTAGTCACGACGTTTTCATTAAATATTTCAATAAATAATAAAAATACATTTGTTTATATGACACCAAATATAAACAAAAAATGTTATTTTATTTCAGGTGCTTTTGCTGAAAAATTACTCCGTGAAGGCGGATCAGCATCCGCGTTCACGGAGCAATCAGGTGATTGACTTCCCGATGTCAGAGTTAAACCGAAATACCTTCAGCTTTTTAATTATTAGTTTTGGTCCGATCTACGCAAAATGAACTTACTGTGTCTTGAAATCTTGCAGTGGTATGTTTAGGTTTAGTTTTAATTTTATTAATAACAGGATCTCAAGCAAGTGGTAGTACCCAGCCTCCCTCTCTATTGTAATTACGAACGAAATATAAACGAATAAATATTATTTATTTCAAGCAACGACAGATTACACCAGCGTCCATGAATATTATATTAGACCACATTTGGGTTTAAAATTCAATTCAGTGTGACAAATCGACTTGTGTTTGAAAAAATAAAAAAACGACACAAATTCAAATACGCAATGTTCAAGTATTTACAACCTAAAAATAGTCTGTTACTGCTTCTTTTAAACTAAAATATTTATGGAAACATTAATTGTTTGTGATATTTTTTATTGAACTGATAAAATTCGTAATGAAGATATCCGCAGAATAGCAATAGTTATCGACATAGCTGAACGGGTCAGTAAGATGAAATGGCACTGGGTTGGCCATGAAGCTGAAAGAACTGACCACGCATGGGGAAGATAGGTTCTCGACTAGCAGCTTCGTACCTGTAATCGGAGTAAGTAATGCGGGAAGTCGATGTCAGCCAATGACTTGTGAAGAACTTTTATTAAGAAGATCAAGGTAATCAATTGGCCCTTTTAATGTTAAAATTGAGTTTTAGTAAGGCATCTCAGTTTTATATTAATAGCGGGATACAGTCATTACATATTTATTTCCGAATATCATCCCAGTCGTAGAGTGAGTTAGCAAAGTTGGATCGAGCTGAATTAGTACAGCGAATGTAAAAGGCCTCTCCTTTTCGTTTTAATCTTTTTCATCTTATGAATTTGGCTATCATATAATAAGCTTCCCAGTAACTAATACAGACCACAGAAAAGGTGAAGTGCGATTTTTTTAAGTAAGTAGTCTTACTTACAATAAATTTGTTGACCCACGCAGTTTTATTTACTCTTTTGCTAATTGCGCTTTGTGCCTCTTATACATTGTACTCTGTCTTCACGCTTAACGTTAAAAAGTGACAGACTTGAAAATTTGCGATTCTTGGGACACTTATTTGTAAGTGTAACTAATTTTAGTTAAAGACAACAGCTATAGGCAGTAAAATAAGCTACAACGAATTTCGACTTTTCACTTAATCAGAATTTGTGTAAACATACACTTTAATTTTTGAAAAAATATAAATATGAATTTGATTAAAATATAAATAGAAATTTGTTAAAAAGTAGCAGTTTCTCACAATAAGCCTTCTTGAAGACGATTAAAATTCTTCATTTGTAATATTGGATATGTAAGGGTATTGGTGGCCACTGAGTATTAAGAAAATAATTTTATATCCATTAATTACAGCCTATATAGTCTATTGCTGAACATAGGCCTCCCACAGATTTCCTCATAGGGGAATTTGACTATATTAGATGCCTGGCTTGGCAGACAGGTTGCCGCTACAGTATTTAACGATTAACAGGAAGATGCTGTTGCCCATCTCCCCTTTTAGTTTCCCTGTGTCACCCCTTACAAAATCCTCGCGATCGATATTCTTACACCGCCACTACATGGTTGTGTATATTATTCAGTCATAAAAGATAAATTTGTGAGCGTATTTATTGTGTTTATATGAATTTTGTGGAAAATTAAATTTGAGTAGAAGTTTCGATTTCCGTGAGCGCAATAAATCTTGAGAAACTCTACAAGCAGGGATGATTTTTCGTAATCATCACATTTGTAATAGTTGTTCACGCCCAAACGTTGGTTTCAAGACTTGACGCCGGAGGGCGCTTGGCTCGATACGGCGCGTTCATAACCGGTAGAAGTGTGGGCGGTTAACGGGAGTTATTGTTGCCATGATGAGGCCAGTTGCTAGAATACAGTGCTGTCGAGAGCACGTCGTGAAGTCGCCCTGGTAAACCTCCATTTTTAGAAAATAATTGTTGCCACGCGAAACGGAAGTGACCTTTGATCCGAAAATTCGGTATTCGTGTTGTGTGTTACGCTTTATAATAAACCAGTGTTAGTGGCGTCTGGAAGTTAGTTAATTGTATGGTATAGTTAATAGACTGACATAGTGAAGAAGAAAGAAAGTGACTGTGGGTGACGCCGCTGGAGATTACCACAATTTGGAGCGGTGCCGAATTCCGGGCTGCTACCGACTTCAACGGTCCCGTCAGGTCTATCACAACCAACACCATAAAAACACCACTACACTCAACACATACACGCCTCCGGCCTGACCGAGCCCTGAGACAGTAGTCGCCTCATATACAGGTAAGTAATCTCTATTTCACTAGCCTCCCCATTAAATTGTAGTAGGATAAAATAAAGTTATTTACAATCTAAAACCGAGAGAGTCTCTTAGAGATAAATTTAAAGAAATAAATATATTAACTTTGGCCCCTCAGTATATTTACGAAAATTTTATGTATGTTCACAAAATCAAAGATAGATTTAGTAAAAAAAGTGATATACATTCTGTAAACACTAGGAACAAACACAAGCTAGTGATGCCAGTTTCTCGACTCCACAGAGTCAGTAATTCATTATTGGGGCAATGTATATGACGGCACCTGCACCGTTGTAGATGCGGTGGCGTTGGTCTAGCTAGGCAGAATTCTTGTAAACGACACGTGTACCGCACACCTGCGGCATTGCACCTGCATTGCCGCCCGTCCTGCTTGTATAAAATGGACTGAGCGGCCGCCGTTAAGACAGTCTTGGCTCTGACGTGGAACGGTGCGCTTGTCGTATTTCGATACTAGTTTATCCTCGACTCGTTGGATAATTAATTCGTGTAAACGAATTAATTATTATTCCTAACTACAAAATTAGTCTCTGTACTATACTCAATTACCCTTCCTACATCAGAAGTGGGATAAAGTCCCCCTTATTGCCCACATATAATCTTCGAATAGTATGAAAATTATTACATTTGTAAAGGCTAATATCTTAGTATTATAGGAAATTCTTCCATATAGCCACTCGGGCTCGAACCTGCGGCTACTCGTTGAATTTTCCTCTCATGGGCCCCGGATATTGAACCTTTGCAGGAGCAGCTGCGGGCCGTAACACTAGTTCTCTCTTTTGAATTTACGCAATGAATTTGAAATTATATACAACATTTTTTACAATGAATGAGTAAAAACTTTTCCTTTTCCTCGGGATTCGCCAATCCTAGCACAAAGTTGTTCCTCGAGTTCTACTTTAAAACCGCAAAACTGTGCGAGATGACGCCCATTCAGTTAAGTCTTCGCCCGGTCTTTGTTCCGCTTTTAAAAAAAAACACATCTTTCCCCAAACATACATTTATTTGAAGAAAACTAGTTGTCAATCTTTTC